TTTTTTTTTTTTTTTTTCGAAACGATAGAGAATATTATATATAAAAAACGCACAAATGTGCAAAGTACACAGCCCCTAACTGAATATAACAACCAACAGCTGAAAAAACTGAGGACAGGTCAGAAGCTCGCCTAGAGCCAGCCTAGCAACGCTAGAAAAAAAACTCAAAACCACACAACACAAAGACTCAACTAAGACGACCCCAACGGGGTAAGGTGGAACGACCCTCAACGGAGTAATATGGAACGAACCCCAACGGAGTAATATGGAACGACCCCCAACGGAGTAATATGGAACGACCCCCAACGGAGTAAAACCCGCTCTCACACAAGCTCACAGGGGCAACGGCCCAAACAAGAAACACAAATTCTAAACGAACATAACGATAATAAACAAACACAGACTCAAGACAAAAACTAAAAACTATAATTATATAGAGTAGGCCCTTCCTCAGCCAACCAAGCTAGCCAAAACCAGAAGAGTAACAATCGATCCAAAAAGAGCCCCTGCCCGAGGAACCGCTACCGAAACTGCATGACTGCCTATACAGAAGCCGAACCCAAGCCCCAAACTCATCTCAAATCGACCCACCCCCGATCGAGAGAACAACGAGCCAGCTCCCCACACTATCACATCCCAAACTCATCTAACAGCACTAGTTAAGCTCGGGAGATTCGGACCCCACCGTCCCCAACACCAGAGAACCGGGGGTGAGACCTTCTCGGTTCCACAACTCCGGCTTCCCCGACGTAAGACGTCGCAGTCGCCAAAGTCTCGCCCCGCCCACTGAACCCCTCACATCCCAACCCACCGCAGTCTGCCCGTGGTCAGAGCCCGAGACCAGCCGGGAGCCCAACCCCCCGCTGAACCACAATCTGCCGGCAATCAGAACCTAATCCCCATCGGGAGCCCCACCAGAAACAGGAAAGCCAGACCCAGTACCGTCCCACCTGAAATAGCCCAAGCCCGACAAGTGCAACCCCGCCCAATCGAGGACCCGCCGGCAACCAGAGAAGGTCCATCTGGATCCAATCAGGGCGCTCCACCGCAATTGCATCCTCGCTGACCACCAAGGACGGACCCCCAATCGTGAGCGAGCCGACGGACCTCCAATCGCGAACTAGCAGACGGACCCCCAAACCCCCAAACTCAGTCCTGCGGAGAAATTAAAGACACTCGACTTCAGGGACGGGCCGAGCGGTCGAGGGCGACCACTGGCCCGAACTTCGCCGGTGACGAGAAAGGCAAAACGACGGGAGAGAAGAGAAAACTAGCGATGGAAGGAGGCTAGGTTTTTTTCGCAAGGAAGAGAAATTGTTATTTCAAAAACATGTTTATAGCACCCTAAATTCATGGGTTTTGTGGATTTAATTTAGTTAAATTTCGACTGATGGTTACAATTTTGCAAAAGTCAAAATTCTTTCTCATTTTTTATTAAAAAAATATGAAACTGATTACCATAAGATCGAAAATTTCGAATTAGGCAAAATACTATCACATACTCCCTCTTATTTTAATAAATGTCGTTTTGAAAAGTTGCACAATAATTAAGAATATTTTTTTGCCAAACCCTCATTAATGAGGATAGAGATGAATGTTTTGACAAAAGATGAAGAGTGAATATGAAAAGACGTAATGTATTTATTAGTTAGATGAGGGTAATAATGGAAAAATATGTATAAAATAGCCAAAACTACATTTATTTAACAAATGATCAATTAAGCTAGAATGACAAATAATAAAAATAGGAGCGAGTATATCTTTTCCTAATTGCAACAGATCAATTGTTTAATAAAAAAATCGAATGCATAGAAATCGGGTTAATTTAAGTAAAATTCGGCATGATAATTTTGTAAAAGTCAAAATTCTCTCATTTTATATTAAAAAAAATTGTTTACATAAAATCGAGAATTTCAAATTAGGCAAAATACTATGACATGTGTATTTACCTAATTGCAACATATCATGTTTATTAAAAAATCGGATTGCATAGAAATCGGACTCCAATTTCAAATTGAAAATTAAAATTCAAAAATCTCTTATCATTTGACTACTACTTTCTTTAATTCTGATTTTTTTTTAAATATAAAACAAAGTCAGATAATATTAATTTGAAATTCAAAATGAAATCGGATTGAAACATCCTAAACATTTTGGTTTTGTTTAATCCTCTAGAATACAAATTTGCAATTGATTCATACACTTACACAGTTTTTCCCTTCCTTAAATTAAGTAATTCATAATTTTAAAATAATAAGACTATAGATTATCATGAAAGACGTTCTACAATCTCTGTTATATTTGGCTATGTAATCTTTATAAAACAAGTATAAATCATATCATATATATCCTGCTAAATAATTTAATTGATTTAATTAAGCCTATCTAGAATCCTAATATAATTTGTGATGATAGACAATGTACCAAAAGACCAAACAAATAATATTGTGTACAAGGATGTGTTTAATAATATGTAAGTTTCATTTTGTTTTATTCCAATACATGCGTCTTACCGTTCTTCCAATCATCCAGTTCTAAATGCTTACCTTAATAAAATTAGCCCGTGCCTCGCACGAGTACCGCACTAGTAAGGTTAAACTCCAATGTATCAATTAAAATTACAGTGTTTGTTTATGTACATCTAACTATTTCCGTATAATTTGAAACTAATTTTGAAATTGGAAAAAGTATATTATAAATTGTAGTACACGGGTAGCCTACCAATTCTCTTTAAACGAAAACTAACGGAGTGCTAGGATATATGTTAAATAAACTACAACTAGTATGACACCCGTGTACTACACGGATTGTTTGAAAAAAAAATATAAAACATAAAATAATAGAAAAAACACATGTTTGTATAAAAGTGCAAAAATAGAAAATACCAAAGTCGATATTATTTCAAATTTTGAAAAATTTCTTTGCACACAACATTAATAGTTTTATTTACAATTTTTCCATCCTTATCACAACATAGAATTTTCAAGTCTCTCCTACTTAAAATGAATAATCGAGATGAAGGAGAATCGGAATGAAGGGGGATGATGATTTAAATAATGTAGAGAACAACTACACTTTATTCATTTAATTTAATAATAAATATAATTTTGGAGGGGATCGGATTAAGCAAAAATATAGTATATTAAGCAATCCGATTTGTTTTTTTCACATCGATTTCCGCAAAGATTATTAGAGGGCAAAAAATCCTATTTACGGCATATAAGAATTCTATTTATTTTGGAGTTGGAGGGGATAGGATTAAGCAAAAATCCTATTTATTAAGTATTTTATTTTAAACAATTAGAGAATGTAATTATAGTATGTCCGAACCTATTTATTTTGGAATATAATTGTATTAATTTTTATCCAAACCAAAAGCCGAAGCATGTAATGTTGCCAAAGATCATATAATATTCTATAACTATTTCAATGTATTTTTATAGATATTCTAAAAAGATTTAAATAATTTATTTACCATGGTTAGATTGAAAAGATATAATATGCAAGTGGCTATAAATGTGTCCAATTTACACGGCATATAAGAATCTATTTATTTTGGAGTTGGAGGGGATCGGATTAAGCAAAAATCCTATTTATTAAGTATTTTTGTTTTAAACAATTAGGGAATGTATCCGAACCAAAAGTCGAAGCATGTAATATTGTCAAGTAAGCTTCCGAAGCCTGCGAGGCTGCCATTTAGGCTCAGCATGTTTTGAAATTATATTTAGAGAGGATGGGATCAATTGTTCAACATTGATTTTGTATGGGATCAAAATCGCAACACCTAATTGTATGAGACCAAAATCGCAACAATAATTTTCTATGGGACCAAAATTTTGGGACTATTTTTTAATGAATGAAAATCTTATGGGAGCAATATTGTAATTTTCTCCCATAAGTTAGTATATAGCTTGCTAGCTTTTAAACGTTTTCTATTTAAATAAGCATGGTTTGATTGGACCAATCCTTTAAGAAA